CAAACATTTGTGAGTAGTGTCATGCACTTTTTGTGAACCGTATTTCTCTTCCTTTTTTATGATAACAGTTTGGTTTGTCTTTTCATTCATAGATGAAGACTACGGCGGTCACTAGCCAGGATTCATCTGAGTCAGATAAGGCTTCCTTTTTTGCTATAAGATGCTGTCTTATTTCAAAGAAAATGCTAGATTGCTTTTGAAGGTAGTCGATGTTGTTTGGCCAGAATTTTAACTACACAATGAAGTCAGTGTTCATGTGCGTACAAGGTACAAATGTCTGTGGAATTCTTACAGGCCTGCGCGTTTCCTGAGCACAGTAAAATACAAATTCTGGTTTAAGCAAGAACCGCCTTGAACAAATTCTGCTCCGTGTTGTTTGGAGTCTTGTGTTTACACCTCCATGGTGTATGACGATATTCTGAAACAGTTCTCCTTTCATTAGTTTATCCAGCGTCAGCCAGTCAACGTCACAATATTACTCAAACATGAAAAATCCATTGAAATAATAAGCATGTCATTGAACAGCTTTGCGCGCAATTGTCGCCTTCGTAACGATGATGTTTTTTACTGTTTATGGTTGGGAATGGTAAAGGTCTCTTTACAATGTTGCTTTGAATAGTTTTTTGTGTTCAACTAAATAACGAATTCTTCTGTAGATGACCGTTTTGCCGAATAATGGAACTCTCTCTTTCGCTAAGACGTACCTGGTGGACAGCGGTGTGTACTTTTGTCGTTCTACGGTAGATAAAACTAAGCGTGGATCGATTATTGTCGTGAAAGGTACACTTCACGTACTTATTACTTAGCAGCGTTAAGCCGATTTTGCGCATTTCAGGCAAAGCACACATTCCCGAGAGAAATACCGGAAGCATCAATCGTTTGCAGGGCGATAACTTGGAGATTCACTGTGATGTTTACGGATATCCGCTGCCGACTGTTACGTGGAAGAGAGACAACGAGGATCTGAGTAAATAATTAACTTTATGCTACCGCATTAAATGCGTTTGTTCGTCAGGGTGACTCTGTCATAAGGCATAGACAGAAGTAAGACATGTTAACCTTCTAACAGCTTTCTAAATAAACGAAGGATAAGCGCGATTAAGAAATTGACAGCTCTTACGGCACTGTTTCAGCCGATCGCTTTCCGTCGTAGTGCTCTGATTTACGGTTTTTCTTTTCACGCTGGTTTACTGCAAAGACCGAATGCGTAGAACTTATCGTCAGAACAGTGTCCGTCTTTTCGGCACAAATGAAGCCGGTAAACCATCTTAGATGTCACTGAATAAACATGGATTAAATGGAGCTGATAACACAACATAAACAAACAAATATCATAGCCCGTTTAAAACGTCGCGCCTTTTTCAGTTATCGGTAAAATTTGCGATACATTTCGAACTCATAATCGAACTGAAACGTGACATCTTGTAGTGTGGCTATCGAAGTTTTTCGCCGATCGACTGACTCGAAATTAAAGCAGAGCGATAGCTGTCTTTGCAATTTTTTCTGTGCTAAGCTTGAGACCGATTATCGCTTCTTTGGATTCAGAAAAGTTCTTTTGCAGAGCCAACTGTGACACAGGTTGTTGAATCGGGACACCCTCGCTGCATTGACTTCAGCCGCTTTTTCAGTAAATAATATTTGCCTATTTAATAGCTAAACAGAATACCAAAGAACGGTTTCAAGCTTCGCCGTTGCCAGTCCCAAGCTCGAATATGAAAGATGATTTTGGGATCGTGCCGATGTCTCCCGTAAAACTTAGCCACCTTCCCTTCATGATATTGTCGTTTTCGAACATTATTCCGGCTAGGTCGCTACCCGGATAACCAAGGGCTTGTTACAGGTCTATGAGCCCAATTTGGGAAGGGGGTTGGAGATATGGGTCCTTTCTTGAAGAAGTAGAATGCCCTCTGTACGAAGTGACGACTACGGAGTCCCTCATTCTAATGGGCGATTTCGGTGCGCATGTCGGAGCAGACACAAAATGTAGGGGCGTGATTGGAAAATACGTGCATGCAACGGACTGCCTGTTATGAACACCTTCAAACATCGAAGCGTGCGTCATTCTAGCTCGTATAGGGAAGCTAATGCACAGAAGTCTATGATCGATTTTATAATTGTATCATTTGACTTACTTTGCTGTGTAATGATTGTTCAGATTAAGAGAGGCGCAGAGCCGTCAATCAGTCATCTTGTTGCTAGTACTCTCCACTGATACACAGAATACCATGCTAAGATCTGGCGGCAGAAACAACCAGATAATCAAATGGGAAACAATGTCTTCAGCGGATACGAGGGCAAAATTTGCAAGCAACACTGCACGGCTGTTTGGCCAGATCCCAGTGATGACGGCTAGAATTTAAA